CATTTTCCAGTGCAGATATTGGCCCACTCTGTCATGCCGGGTTTTATATTCAGTGGGTGCCAATATCGTAGAGCCTAATACAAGATGATCAATTGTTTCTGGATATTCATCACAGAATCTGCATTTTGGGCTAACACAATATTTTAGTATATGTGCTTGATAATTTCTAGTTAACAAGCATTGGTCCTGTGCAGCAAGGATAAAACCTTCAGTTTCAGCTTTCAACCCTGCACTACGTAGCCACTGATGGGTACGGGTTTTGTCTACGTCAGCTTGTTTGGTATGGGCAGAGTATTGGCCATGAAGCGGTTTATCTTGCCATTGTGTCTGTATCTGGTCGGTTGCATTTGTCTTTGTTTTCTTTTTTAAGTATTTTGCAGCTTCTGCCGGTGTATTATTATTATTATTATTATTATTAAAGAGAATAACGCCAACAAACTGACTGTGGGTTACAAATACACGAAGCCCAATGTACCCATCATGACACCCTGCCTGATAAGCGTATTCCAGTCATATACATCAAGTGCGATATGGTGACGATTTTTAATAAAATCAGCATTATACCTTGTAGGTGAGGCTCAGATCGAAATACCTTCAGGTCGGGTAAACCAATCCGCTTAGACGGTCTCAGACTGAAAGTGTCCTCAATATCTAGATGTGACTCTGAAGTTGCTATGCCTACCTTACTCTTCGCGCTTAAATACAGCAACCCTCTCGACATCCGCCCACTATTTCCGCTCATGAACAGAGATGCACATTGCGTCAATCCCTGGTGAAGGTTGCCCATTACAGATCCATCGACAGGTTGCACAACCCCCCGCTGATAAGCTACATCAATAGGCTCATTTAGTTTCCTCCATATAAGAACTTTGTTATCTATCTGAAAGAGGTGGAAACGCGACTCGTTTGACTAGGCAGAGTATTTCAATGACGATGTTATTTGTGAAGCCCATTAACCACTGTCGTGGTATCCATAACTCTACTCTTGTTGACCGACGACTACGGTCAAATACGGTATAAGCTGTAGAGTTGACCGATGGCTTGATCGGCATTAATATTGAATTTGGACGTGATCTGATGCAATATCACTATTTGTTGAGTGGTTACAATCGTTAAAAGTCTTCAGCCGTAACGCTTTTGCACCACTCTCAATTTGCTGTGTCTGCCTTACTCTTCCTGCTTAAAAAAGTCAACCCTCTCGACACTCGGCAATAATCCTCCCCGCGTCCTGTGTATGACAATAAACTACATCGGCGTCCTGGGTATGACGATAAATTACATCCGCATCCTGGGTAAGACGATAAACTATGCCCAACAACAAGGCCTCTGATAATATGTTTTTGGAAAAAGAATGTTGCCAGCTGTACGTTTTTGAAAACATAATATTACCAGCTATAAGTTTTTCAAAGAATAGTGTTGCTGGCTATACGTTTTTTAAAAAATAATATTACCAGCTATAGGTTTTTGAAAAAAATAATATTACCAGCTATACGTTTTTGAAAAAAAAATAATATTGATAATAAATAAATAATAATAATCTGTCGAATTGAGCCGAGCTTCTCGGCTTGACGGTCGAATTCTCTGCCTCTGAGCAGAGAGGAACCCGGGCGAGGCTCCGCCGAAGGGCAGGATCTCGTTCGGGGAGGTTGACCAACCCGATCCCGTTTATACGGGTTCTACGGGCATTTTTTGGCCGAGCCTACTGGCTCGGGAGTCTCACGTAAAACGCGGCCTTGTGCCACATGCAACCCTCGTGGGGAGGGGGGGGGCTAGATACCGAAAAAAATAATATTACCTGATATACGTTTTTGAAAAAAATAATATTACCAGCTATAAGTTTTTGAAAAAAATAATATTACCTGCTAAACGTTTTTGAAAAAATAATATTACCAGCTATACATTTTTGAGGAAAAAAATATTAAGAGAAATAGATTTTTGACAAAACAAAAATATTACCAGGAAAAAAAAGTTGTTGGCATTAAATGACCCATTGAGGTTGATATGACGTAAAACAAACCAAACCAAACCATAATCCTCCCCCAATATTTCCGTTAATGAACAATGCGTCAGTCAGGAAAGCATATGCCACACAAGTGAAGGTTAAGCAACTGACAAACAAATCTATGGTAATGGATGATATATTTGCTGTAAGCTATATTAATTCGTTATGAAAAAACATATATATATATATATGTTGACACGTCAAATCAGTTAAGATCAGAAGCCATGCTTCCTACAGCTTCAGGTCATTTATCATGATTTCATGTCAGCTGAAAACAACCACTTTATCGGATTAATGGTCAGCTTGGGTTTTAGAGTGGGCCATCCTTCTTCGAACCCGCAGAACCACAAACAAAGAACTGTACCAAACAACAAAAGCCACACCACTTGTGGACTTTCAATAACAGCAAAAACTAAAATGGATCGCGCGTACAACACGAAAGGAAAATAATGACATAATCTAAATGTTGACGTGCAACGCTACGTCAAATAAAAGGTCAGGAAGGAAGTTTCTATCAAAATAGAAAACAAACAATTACAAACAAACAAACTCAAAGTCGACAGATATAATTCCACTATTATAATGAAATAATGAAGATGCTGACATTCCACATTACTTCAACTAAAAGGTTAGGAAGGAAACTCCCGTTAACACTGGAAAGAACGATAACAGCTACTGGACTTGAGAAACCTATTTTTCTGAAAAATGTTTTAATGGAAAGCTTTTATAAATTTCAACCGAAAATAACCACTGGTTACGACGTCAATGAAAGCTGAATATTTTCTTACAAAGAGACGGCTAATGTTACCATTACCATATGTGTGTGTGTATATGTGTGTGTATGTGTGTGTGTATGCGTGTGTGTATGTGTGTGTGTATGAATTTAGGACGCCGAAGCAGCTGCTGAACGGTGAGCTGAGGGATTGAAAGCCTTCACTTCAGAAGTCTAAAAAAAGACTGTCAAAATAAATTAATGATTAATAATTATATTGGGCATACCACTATATGCTTATCATGAAGACACACTTTACATCTCTCGGGTCGTAACTCCATTAGGACCCATTTAAACACACATGGAGACCTAACAAACTCTGTCCGCAACATACTTGTGGAAAATATGACCATAATAACCTCGTCCACAGGAAAAAACGGTTAAAAATAATGGAAGTATTAATAATAAAAAAGAAGTTAACTCTCAATAATATCAACTATAAACACGGCCACAACGTGCTGACCATGTTCGGAAATTTTAAAAAAGTAACATTCCCATACCTATAGACACACACACACACACACACACACACACACACACACACACACACACACACACACATATATATATATATATATATATATTCAGTTACAATTATTCTGGATAATGGCTAATAGATTAAACAAAAGCGCTCGGATCCATAGAACATTTAACCACTTTTATACATTCCCTATGTCCAAAAAAAAAAAATACTTGTGCAAATGCAAGAAAAATTTAATAAAATGCTTGATAGCAGTGACTTAGTCGTCTTCAATGAATATATATATATATATATATATATATATATATATATATATATATATATATATATATATATATCTATGTATGTATAGTAGAATTCCCTCATATCCGGAATCCCTCATATCCGGACATGATTTGGATGTGTATATTTGAACTATTTCGGTGATATGTAACTGATTTGAAATTTCTGTTTTTTCAGGAAATTTACTTTGGATAATTGCTTATGCTTATTTCACCCCGATGGCATGCATTGGTGTAAAAGATGATGGGAATAAGAGGAAAAGAACAACTTTGAAGTTATCGCAAAAAATGGAAATTCTAGACGCTTGTAAAAGTTCATTTAACTAATGTCTGACTTCAACATAGGAAAGTCAACATTGTATGATATAAACTCTTCCAAAGAAACTATTCTCCGGCGTTCACACTGTCACAATAAACAAGGAAAAAACAATTGTGATGAAACCTGGACTGAAATTGAAAAAGCTATTGAAAAGGTTGTCAATTTTATGGAAAGAAAGCCTGCATTCAGCTCTGAGGATTGCAATAACGCACGCACAGTTAAAATGTGTCTTTTGTTTTAAAATTTCAAGAACAAAAAACGAAATGCGGAAAAAGTTGATAGTGACATTAGAAGAGAAAGAATGATCATGCAATAGCGATTAAAAATCTTCGTCAATTGTTTGCATACGTGGCATACTCAATTTAATGAATTTTTATCAACATTACATAATTTATTTCTTTTTCCTTAAAATCAATTCCGTTATATTTCACTCACCATTAGTTTATTTTGTTTACTATAAAACATTGAAAATAAATGTTAAACCTGATTTCAGTTCTTTTATTTAATCTAAATATAACCCCTCATATTCGGACTTTGTAACCAATTCCTCATATCCGGAAAGCCTTCTTAATCCGGTCGTCAGTGATTCTACTGTATGTATGTATGTATGTATATATATATATATATATATATGTGTGTGTGTGTGTGTGTGTGTGTATATGAAAGTTTCATTGAAGAATGGATTATACACACACATGCTTATATATATATATATATATATATATATATATCATCCAAGCCATTTCATTTTTTCCGTACTCGCCAGTAAATGAAATTAATATGCCTCCTCCTACTTTTCATACCTCAACCGCCTGTCCGTCCAGTTTGTCTTATCGGTTGTGTGTCTTTCCCATTTTTTATCTTTTGTTTCGTTTTCGTCACCGCCATTTTCTCTTTCATTCTTTCCCACATTGGCGAACTCGCGGCCTATATAAACCCAAGCATCTCTCCATGCGTCAGAGCTGCAACAAGAACCAAACTCAAACAAGCTGTCCTGCTATAGCAAGAGAACAGAGAAAGACTTAAGTAACTATTCCAAGCACAAAAACCAAGAATTATACCCCCGAAAACTCGTTAAGGACAATAATCTTTCTAACAACAAAATGGCGATCAAATGTTATTCGATTCAAAAGTGGCTGAACAAAATGAACGTCGCTTTTTTCGTCATCGTTCTCTTGCTGGTGCAGTCGAAGCCTAATCTTGCCGATGAAGGAACAGACCTCACACTAGAACCAGGGGCAGGAGGCTCATATGTGGTGGACGCGGTCATTGGTAAGATCCACGAACACTGCCTAGTTGATTTCGACAATGGACTTCTCCAAAAACTGGCCCATTTGAGAAGCGATGATGGAAGGAACTACACATCAGGAACTGGGGGCATATGGCAGGTTAGTCTGTGTTTTGCTTCGTGTTTGCTTTGAAAATATGGGGCGTACGGTCATATCGCGTTGAAACATTGGTTCCTTTATGATCATCGAAGTTAAGCAACGTCAGTACCTAGATGGGTGTCCGTTTGTGCTGTAAGTTTGGATGTCCGTGTGATATAATGGATAACGGCTCGGAATTGGAACTCAGCTCTCCAATTCCAATTCTAGTCGGTTTTGTTATATATTCACTTACGCGCAAATACCTTTGGGGCAGGTATGAGTTCACCTTTTCTCCCTATGCTAGTAGAACTTGTATCAGTAAAAATCATTAGTATCTTACTTTCTTTAATTAAATTCTTACAATTTGAAAATATTTTATGGGTTTAAATCACCTGCAAAAGGTTGATAAGCCATAAAAAACAATTTAATCATTCAATTGAGAATATGGGAAACTACACATTAGGAACTGGGGGGGCATAAGGCAGCTTAGTCTGTGTTTTGTTTCGTGTTTGCTTTGAAAATATGGGGCGTACGGTCATATCGCGTTGAAACACCGTTTCCATTAAAAATGTCTTCCACAAAAAGAAATAAAACCTTGAGCGTTGGAGTGACCAAAAAAAAAAAAATCTTCGATCAGTTTTAAAACATAAATTGGATAGATTCAGAAAGATCATCTTACTCATACTATAGGGGAAATCTTGATAGAAGCGGACAAGGCTAGTGATTATTAATTACTAAGTTTAAATTAGATTGGCTTAATAGGTATAAATCATTTTAATCCCCATCCTTCTGCTAGCTAGGAATTATTAGCAGAGCGGACGGGACTTGCTAGCTTTGGTAATCAGTCCAACTTTGAATTCACAAACTTTTCTGTGTAGGGCTAGCAGCTGCACCCTGTAAAATCCTACTTGCCACGGAAAACAAAACAGCTACACCTAGCGTAGTGATGCTGTGGCTCTATATCCTACAGGGGAGTTTACAGGATTAACATACATACATTTAATTAAAAAAAAGAAGAATTATTTTAAAAGAATAAGTTTCCTTTTTAAATTCTATTTCCAGTGAATCTCGATCAGACATGTTCAATTTATCTAATCCACGGAACCAAGTAGATTTCAGAACTCATAACTGTTGTCATTTATAAAGCTTAGCTTAGCTTAGAACAAAGCCATAAGTATCGAACTACCTAGCAATGGTCAACTAAACGAGCTCGCTTATTATACTCTTCAACGCCAAGGCATCTTGGAACTCCGAACTTCCTTCCTTATCATAATGATCTAACTAGGTTTATATTTCTGCATTACCTAATAAATGTCACGGATTCGAAAAAAAAAGGAAAGGGAATTCATCAGTTCTTTTAGACAATAGGCCATGTCGTCTCTGGCGCTACGTACAACCAGAAAGTTGCTGAGTGTTACTTAAGAAATAAGTTTAATATGTGTATGGAAAGGAAGGAAAAGAAACAAAATGAATGTGAGGAGAATTTTTATTCGTATTTTACGTTTCATTTTTCCTCTTTATACAACTTTTCAAAAATAGATTTTAAATTTTTTTTGTAAAACGTTATTAAATAATATATATATATATATATATATATATATATATATATATATATAGATAGATAGATAGATAGATAGATGTGTGTGTGTAATATGAATATATTACTAATTACTTTAGTACGATGATGTCCATCGATAAGACGAAACAAAATTTTTCCAGTTTGTCATTTAATATTTTTCTGATATAAAAAATGTATATATTTTTTCATATACATTTATAGGAAAATTAAACGTGAATTGTATTTTTTGTATATATATATATATATATATATATATATATGTGTGTGTGTGTGTGTGTGTGTATGTATGTGTGTGTGTGTGGATTGAGAGAGAGATATTTATATCGAATTATGAAAATTATTATAGTTTACTGAATTCGATCTTAGATCGCCGTGTTGTTTTTAAACATTGAACAAATTTTTATTTTTTTATGTTTTCTACAATAAAACGAAATGCATACATATTAGTTTAATTAATATTATCTAACACACACACAGACATATATATATATATATATATATATATATATATATATATATATATATATATATATACTACAATGAATCATTCATACAAAGAGTAAATTAGTAAAAGTCAACGATATAAAATGCTGAAATCCCTTCGCTAACAAAATTTCGACATTTTATATATATATAAATTAAACTGCCATTTTATATATATATACATAAATTAAAAATTAATATATATATATATATATATATATATATATATATATATATATATATATATATATATATATAATAGAAAACGTATGTAGCAGAATAATAGTGGGCAAATGAATTACAAGATGTCAAAAAACTTGTTAGAGACGCATTTTGATCCGAGAAAGAACTTCTACAGGCTAATAACGGATTTGTTGATGGACCTAATCTTATCTATAAAATCGGACGAAAACCTGCGGTAAGAGCATATACAATCTATCAACAATACGTCTTCTGTTTTTCATGTTTTTTTTTCTTTTTCGTCTACTTTTTTGAAGCAGTCAAGCGATTACGGGAACTGGTTGGTTGGTTGGTTGGTTGGTGAATTGAATAATAAAAATAGTCTAGGCTGGCATTTATATTCTTTCTTTGCACATATTTATTTTTTCTGACCCAATTTTCTTCATTCGCATTTTTATTATTTTCTTATATCGTTCAGTAGTTTATTGATTTCTTTTTTTCATTCACTTTTTGTCATTTTTTGTATTCAGCCTTTCTTTTTCTTTACCCATTTTTCTTAAAATTCATTTAATTTTCTTCTTTCTTTCTCTTTTTTTCTTCTTCAGTTCCCTTTAATTCTCTTTCTTCCTTCTTTTCTTCCCTTTTTGTTTCATTCTTTGTATCTTTCAAATTCTCGATTTTTAATTTTTTTCCTATTTTTGTTATTGACATTTGAAATTTAATATTATATTTATGCTTCCATTGTTGTTTAGCAAAGGTTTGCATTATTCACGTTAAACATACTTGTATATCCAAACACGGGGGGATCCTTAACTTCGTAGCCTGACATGTAGTTATTCATTGACACACACACACACACACACACACACACACACACACACACACACACACACACACACACACACACACACACACATATGTAATTTATTCTAGCATATTACAGCGAAAATATGTAAAAATCGCTACACAATTGCAGTCGTGTTTCAATGCGTATCAATGCATCTCATCAGGCGATTGTAAATTACTGGCGAGTAAACGATTTATTAACATTTAAAAGCAACACAAACACACACACACACACACACACACACACTCACACACACACACACCTATATATATATATATATATATATATATATATTGCTTTTTTCCAATGGATCTCGATCGGACATGTTCAATTTATCTGATCCACGGAACTAAGTGGTTTTCTATCCCTATCATGTCCATTTATTGTTCCTAGGGAATTTCAGAAACTATATATATATATATATATATATATATATATATATATATATATATATATATATATACTTGAAAGTTGTCTTACTGGGTGGCATTTAACCTAGCTCCTGTGGAGAACGCTTGATTGGGCCTTCGGCTTGTTTAGAAGTTTGAGTTTGAATATTTTCAGCTTTGGAAGCTCTCCTGGCTGCCGTTTGATCTGGGTTTTCATTTGTATGGGACTTACTTTTCCTCGCTGCTGCCTTGGCTCTTTTGACCGCAATCTTGTCTTCCGTTGGCGGAGATTTCTTTTTGCGAGGCATACTGCTACCGTATGCGATAGGCAACAATAAACTACAGAAGAACTCAAAATTGATTGCTGCAGTTAAATATCGCTTTAATATTTAAGGTAACCTTTTAAAATTTCAACGATAATTCTTCAACCGCCACTCAATTTAAAGACAATTTGATTTACGTAAGCCCTTACTTTCCGTTATAGAAAACCAACATTGTTTATAAATTTTATTGACCTCTGGGAGATTGTATCTCCCATGGTAAAAATAATATTTATGTTGGACGCACTACAACAACGTTGTCTCGGCTGCTATGTTTTCATTTGAATCATATGTCTAATATTTCTAAACATTTACAACATACCTGTCCACATTCGTAATTCAGAAAAAAAACCTCGGTGAAAATACCTCTATACTTTTTCACGAAAAGAATAAACATAAACTAAATATTCTTGAAGCTATCTATATTAAAAAATCGAAGTCAAACCTTAAAATTAATTATGAATACTCCACAAATCTTTTACAATGTGTATAATAGATAGATTGAAATGCCAACGTTTACAATAATAGTTTCTCTTTTTACTACTCATGTTGTAAAAATATTCTCCAAACCATACTTAGTTACCTCCCTTTAAACTGTTTCAGCTGTCATGCACTGACACAGCATTCCTCACTCCAAATGTAAGAAAATTAATTTTCAAAACGGTTTTAGCGCTCATGCACCGGCGTAGCGTTCCTCACACCATTCATAAAAAATTTAATTTTCAGATAAGACAATCTGTCTCTGACAGCAATGGATACTATAATATTCATTTTATTATAAACAATACCCTGGTGATGACATGGATATGTCGAAAGAAATTCGCAAGAAAACAAATGTGTATAAACACGGCGATTTTCTCTCGTCATTCAGTAATATATATATATTAATGCAAGTAAAAGCCTTTTCACTTAGCTGCTTGATGTTATCTTCAGCATCCTGACTCATGACTTTAGTAGACGGACACTCTAGGAATCAATCCGTTCACTCGTCAGGTGTATATATATATATATATATATATATATGTGTGTGTGTGTGTGCGTGTATGTATGTATGTATGTATGTGTACTAAACAAACAAACACACACACACACACAAATGGAATCTTGAAAATACCATAAACTGAACATGTGAGCAATGTTGATGTTTTAGAGAAAATGGAAGCAAAAAGGATAATTATACTTCACATCAGGAATAGGGTACATATTGAGAAAGTTGGGTTGGAAAATTTAACACTCACATGACATATTGAAGGCAAGAGAATCAGATGAAAACAGCGCATAATCTACCTAACGAACTTGTGCAAATGGCTCACAGAGCAGGGTTTAGGAGAGAAAAAAATTTTTACTAAGAGCTACAAAGGACAGGAAATTGTGGTGATCCAAGATCGCCAAAGTCCTCAAGGGGCATGGCACATAGAAGAAGAGGAACTACGTCTATTTCAAATACGAAGTGTCCACTATAATAATTTTTGAAGTAATAAAAATGTCGGATTCAAATTAAAGCCATTAATTGTTCAGAAAGATAATATCAATTCAGTGTAACTTGTATTAATAAATTTATACATTCAACACTCAATCTAGTCAGGTTTAGGTTTCTCTTTTTTATTTCTCTTTTTCGTTTCTTTGTGCGTGTGTTCACTCAATCATGACGAGAATAACAGAGAGATAAATGTTGCTTAAGGTAAGGTGACCTGTTAAGAAAATCTGAGCAAAATAATAACAAACCGGATACGGTAAAAACCCACTTCGTATTTAAGAAGAGAGACGTAAACAGTGCATTTTTGCTTCACTCCTAAAACGACACAAATAACGATAACTTCAACAAAAGTCTTGTTTACACGAGTATTCATTTTGGGTTATGGTTAAAAAATAATTCCCTTCAGTTTGAACAAGAGCTCACTAATTAATGAAAAAAAAATGTTCGCCAGACTTAAAGTAACAACAATCAGCCTGTACTTATGGAGTATGTTTTTAATGGCGGGGGCTTCTAAGTTTTGGAGATTAAGCGGAACGACACAGGATCTTACGTTTTTGCCCGGAGAAGGTGGTATCCATGTGGTTGATGCCGTTTACCAGCGCCTACGTTCAACTTGTGCCTTTGAGGTTGATCTTAATTACCTGAACAGCTCGGCTTATCGTCGAACAAAATTTGGTATGAACTACGCCCCTGGTAGTGGCGGTATTTGGCAGGTAAAAAAAACTAAAACATATTCGTCCGCTTTTTTTCTCTTTTGCCTTCTTTTTCTTTTTTATTGAAATCATAAAAGTGTCAATATGCATGAAGAGTGCAGAAAGATATCAGCTGACTAAGATGATATTAAAAAGAATTCTGATATTTGGTCTGATCCTGGGAAATGGGCCTTCAGGAGGCTCTCCTTCCGGATTCTTTTGAAAGGATTGGCAGAGGGGGAGAAGGTTTTTTTTCAGTTGGGATGGATGCTGTAGATGTAGTATATGTCCCATGCCAGCGGCCTTCTCTCCCCCCTTGCATCCCCCACCGTTGCGTGACATCTGTTGCGTAGCGGTGGTATGACCGGCCATAGCTGGCCAGCTTAGACAATCTATGACTAGCTCAGACCAGCGACCCGAGTGGAAACACTCGGGTCCCCACGTTAAATACCCATATAGCAATAGGCATGCATGTGTTGCCAGAATTTTGTATTATAATTAGTTTATTTTCTTTCTTTAGTTAACATCTTCGGTTTTATTAATGAATGTCCCTAGCTATGGGTTAAATAGCATAGTAGACTAGAATATCTAGCATTGGGTGGCAACCAGTTTAAGATTAGGAAAACTCTTAATTTCAAACAGTGGAGACGGCAACAGGAAACCACTACGCTATCTTTCCCAAGAATGCATTTCCATTCACACATGATAAAGAAAAAGAATCTGTGGATAGTCATGATTGCCCATGTCCTGAAGGGACATGGTGTTAAAAAAAATTGATGAGTGATTAATGTAAAGCTTCTCAGCGCGGAAAGTTGAATCGATGGCCTGAATTCAAGTTCCGCTTTAGTAGTTAGTATGAAATGGGTTCATACCTTTCCTCATGACTTTAGCGCGAAGTGATCGTGCTAAAGTAATTGGGAAAGGCATGAACCCATTTTTTCCTACCCTAGGGTTAAACAGCATAATGAAGGAGGCAATGGGAATCAATTCCTCTCTTTTTAAGTCGATATGACAATTCAGAGTGGAAATCTTTTCCACTTTGTCATACATATTGATATCTAAAAATGTTTTTTCCGCAAACAATGTTTAAACATACATTGATATATAAAACCTCATTTTTCCCTCCAGTCAATGGTTAAAATATATTTATATATAAAACCTCACTCTGTTTCCCAAACGATTGCTAAAAATATATTTGTATGTAAAACCTCATTTTCTTACCGCAAAAAATGCAAAAATATATTGATATGTAAAACTACACTTTTCCCTTGAACAATGGTTGAAACACACGCACACACACACACACACACACATGATGGCTGTTAAACGAGCATAATCAATGATGATGATATATATATATATATATATACATAAAGAAATATAGTTTTAAGGTGTGTATATATATATGGTATAAAGTGATATGCTATCAGAGATAGAGCGTATGTAAATATAAATATAAAAGTGAACACTGAAGTCAACACTCAGAGGCGACAGTCTGTTTCATGCTAGACGTAATCGCGGCCTGACGATTGTGTCTAGTATGAAACAGCCTGTCGCCTCTGAGTGTTGACTTCAATGTTCACACACACACACATATATATATATATATATATATATATATATATATATATATATATAGAAAAACGAATTTGCGGTGGGCCGTGATCATTTACATTCTGAAGAAATACATTCACAAATCTGAAGGCTAACTACTTAGTGGATTACACTTTGGCTCAGATGAAAATTCAGATTTTCGGATGCTGATTTTTAAGGAAGACAGATTTCTTACTTTGAAGATTGGTGCTATAAAATCTTCCTATTCCAGTTTCTCTCCATTTGGCCTAGTTTCAAACTAAGCTAAGTTTAGTAAGTATCATGTACAAAATGTGAACTACAGGCACTTGATAGAAATAACTATTTCAAACATCAGGCAGGGCCTTGAATAAGATAGATATTTATTTAGCTTAATATGACGCAAAATCAATTACTGATGAAAAATAAAAGTAGGAAGATAGTATAGCATCATTTTTAAAGCATATCTTGGATGTGGCATAAAGCCGAATGAATGGGGCACCTATTGAGGATCGAACTCACTAGTCTTGTGAGATAAGCTTTCTAACCATTATACCATATCAAAGTGCTCAAATAATCTTCTAAGAGTAGATGTGGCACAGGCCGAAAGTATAGAGTGCTCAGTTAGGATCGAACTCACTACGCAGTCGTAACTGATTCAGCGAGACAAGCTCTCTAATCATATAGATCTATTTATCTATGGACAGAGGAATATCGATATAGATGAAGACAGACTGATATCTATCTATCTATCTATCTATCTATCTATCTATCTATCTATAGAGAGAGAGAGAGAGAGAGAGAAGAAAGGAAAAAAATTAATTCTCCATTCTAGTTGCAAATGTGTCTCTCGCTCGTGTTTCGTAAATCCTTTCAGTAGTAATCCTTTTGCTGTTTAGTTAAGTAGCTCATGAGTAACTTCATTTTAAAGACAATAAATGAGAAAATATGCTTTTTTTAATATATAGATATTTTCTAGGCTCTGTGTAACCGTTCTTATGATATATGATTGCCTTTTTATGACAAATTATACATTTTTGCGATATCGTCATTATTTGTAATAATCTCCTTTTGGCATTGTTCCGAGAGACAAAATAATTAAAATAATGTCTGTTATAAATCCATTAACCCCTTCCCCACCAATTATTTTGGGAAAAATGTTTTATTTTCAGATGAATGTTTTTATTTAAAAAATTTTTTTTTTTAAGCGTTTCACCCCAAGCAAGGCGAGAAGCCACTAGGACGCAAGGGGTTACAGAAAATTTGGAGCAAGATCAGATAGGAGTGATAGGGGAAAGGGTGAGGAGAAGGGTAGTGGATAGATCAAGGCAACTGGAGATGTCGATTGACATTACATTTGAATAGCTGGAGATTATAGCTCCCAGGGAAACTGGAATAGGGAAGGGAGTTCCACAGGCGAGAGGTGCGAGATATGAAGCTGTTGTAGTAGAAGAGACAGCTACATTTAGGAGTTTCGACAGTGAAAGGGTGAGAGCGCGATGCCAGCCTCGTAGGGCGCTTGAACTCATGAAGTCTGGGAACCAGCGAATGCAGCTCCACGGAGCAATTGCCATGAAAGTATTTGTAAAACAGACAGAGAGAGGTGACGGCGCGTCTGTGAGAAAGTGACTGTAGACGAGATGCCAGATCAGGGCCAATTATATTGCATATTCGCCTCTGGAGCCTATCAAGAACCCCGAGGTAAACAGAAGGGGCTCCAGACCATATATGGCAGTAATACTCCATGCAAGGATGAATTGTTGATTTGTAGATCTGGAGGATCGATTGTTTTTAATATAGTAACTAAGAAACTGAGACACCTTGAAATACCCGAGCAGTGGCTAACACCTCTACCAGTTGTATGAGTTTACAGGTGAACTCGTTTCAAAAGAATTAAGATCACCGTATAAACACGTCTGTAGCTGGTTTTTTGAACGTTCTGTTTCGGACGTGTTTATTCGTCAATGTCTGAAAGGGACACTTTCGGTAAAAAACGTATATACACACATAAGCAGGGAAAGGGTTTAATCGTCATTAGGCTGATTTTTATATAACTATTTTTATCATAATTATATCATATGGCAATATCTATATAATTATATAGATATTGCCATATAGTCCCCTTGTATAATACCTGATGGTCTATAAATTTTTAAGCTGCTAAGAAAGTGCGAAGAAGCAGATGAATATCGTTAGGCACTTCCGTTTAATGCGTATTTAAATGAAATGCCGTATTTGATAAATAAATACCCACTTTTACCACAAATATAAGTTAAGTATATATTAATGTATAAAACCTCACATTTTCCCCAAAACAATGGTTAAAAATGTATTCATATATAAAACCTCACATTTACAATGGTTAAAAATATATTCATATATATAAGATAACGATATATATTTTTATATATTAAGGACAATATTGGGTTAAAAATGTATGACGAAGCAGAGAAAGTTTTCACTTAGGTTTGGTTTGTTTTACGGCATATCAACCTCAATGGGTTATTTAATGCCGACAAATTTTTTCTTGCTGGTAATATTCCTTTTTCAAAAATGTATAGCAGCTGGTAATAATTGTTTTTTCAAAAATGTAGTGCTGGTAAATTTTTTTACAAAGTATTTCTGGTATTAATACGTTTTTTTTACACTTTCACAGTGTTTTGACGCCAGTTTGGAGCGGGGGGTGCAATAATTTGCTTATCGTTCGTGCGCATGTGCAACATAACAAATTTATGTACGATGAATTACTAAAGGGCGAAAGGCGTCACAAGAAATGTTTTCCACTTTCTCATACGTGTTGATATCTAAAAATGTTTTTTTCCACAAACAATGTTTAAACATATATTTATATATAAAACCTCAATTTTCCCTCCAGTCAATGGTTAAAATATATTGATATATAAAATTTCACTTTTCCCCAAAACAATACCAAAAATATATTGTTATATAAAACCTCACTTTGTTTCTCAAACGATCGCTAAAATATATATTTGTATATAAAAAATCATTTTCTTACCCAAACAATGGCAAAAATATATTGATATGTAAAACTACACTTTTCCCTTGAATAATGGTTTAAACATACACACACACGCACACACACACACACATATATATGATGGCTGTTAAACGAGACTATATATATATATATATATATATATATATATATATATATATATATATATATATATATATATATATATATATATATATATTAAGAAATATTTCTCCCATATGACATCTGTATATTTTTATTAAAACACAAGATATACCTTGAGCCCGATTAGCTGGAAAACTAGCGAAACTTAAGTCGCACTCCCAAACGTATGTATACGTATATGTGTATTTATATATATATATATATATATATATATATATATATATATATATATATATATATATATATCTTTGCTCTGTCTAACCACATCGAGCACTATTATGTTTACACTTCATGAATAAATCTAATGATTATTTATTTGTTTGTTTGTGCATGCACACCGACATGCGAGTATATGGTGGCTTATATCTGGTCATTTAATTTACCTCTGTGTATATATATATATATATATATATATATATATATATATATATATATATATATCAGTTTACTAATTCCTCGTAGTAAGACAGTATATGTATGGAGGGGGAATATACGCACGCATATATACACGCATGCTGACAGGAACACACAAAAATGGAAACAGATCAAAGAACACATAGGGGGTCAGTAAAACATTAAAAGATAAAATACCGATAACTAATTCATCATTTTGCTGGACCAACCTTAATTGTTTTATGACCCTTGGCGCAGAACTCTTCATTGCCAATTCAAGAAAGACATTCGGATTACTAACACAAAAACAGAAAATGTCTCATATCGAGAATATTTAACATTGAACATGAGGAAAAATTAATTATTTTTAATAATATGTGGAAATCTCCGCTTTTACCTGAAGACAGTCGCGAGACCAGAAACAAGTGTCGTACAATTATGTAAAATAAAGCATAATATTTTTTTCTAAATAAATCCACATTACAACCAAAAACGTTTGCGGCACCTCTCTTCTCTTCTTTTTAATATATATATATGCATGTCTGCACATAAAACATGGACTTATTTTTTTATTTAGATCAATTTTTTTATTTGTAAGTTGCCAAGAGCAGGAATTGACATTGTTTTCATCTTGTTTTTTTTTTGTGCAGGTCTCCCAAGATCAACTATCCACAGTCAACATGGAATGTAGTACAACACTTCGATATGGATGCCTGGAAGCAAGGAGCCAGTTTGGCGTTGATTTGGGCATTACTAAAATGGAAGACCTTGACAAACCCCTTATCTCAGGCATGGTTATGGCATTCTTTGTGACTTCTCAAAACCGAATTAATGAAGCAGGAATTGGTAAACAACTAGAATTTTCTTTACAATCCTTGAACCTGGAGGGAAAAGACTTCTTCCAGTTATCCGCAGAAATAAGTTGTAAGTTTTTTTTATTGCTGAATATTTTTTACTTTTTATATTTATGGACGATATAATTGTTTAGTGACTAAAATTAGGTATTCTAGTCCAGCCGATCAAATCTGGCATTAAAAGTTCTCCCCAGAGATTAGCCAATGCTATCAAGATTGTCCTTTGTGCCCGAAGAGACACACAGTGTCTGGAGCAGTGGAGACTTTTAGATTCGACGGTTGGAACCACTGCCAAAGTTCCACAATGATGCTACTCTTTTTGAATGAAGAATACTTGACGCCGGGCTTCTTTGAAGTTTGTGGATGCCTGGACAATGACACGCTAAAGCGATCGGTTCGCAGTACACCTCAATGTTTTGGTTTGAATCACTAGCTGAGAAGATTAACACGATGGTCGTGAATTTGGTCACACCATTTCAAGAGAATTGAGACCACAACACAATTCTACCACTAGTGCCTCCTGGAGGTTGAATTTGATCTTATCTGACCTATCGCTTGTGAGATCAAAAACACTTCATATCGAACTCAATATATTTGCTGTCCTTTTTATCAAAAATAGCTTTATTTGGCTAGAAATGGAAGGATGCGCTCGTTGGTGACATCGAATGGCTTTCGAGATCAACGTCACATATTCTGTGTTATTACGAGAAGTCCGTCCTGAGTATGACGATAAACTACAGCAAGGCATGTGATCGGGAGGATCTGATGAGCGCGGAACCACCTTTTAATTGCTGTTGTTCTCAGGTCCACTCTGATCGGAGGTGGTAGCACCTGTTAGGGTCCCAGCTATGGGCAAAAACTGAAAGTATAAATTTTTTATAGGAAAAATATGAGCGATACATTTTCATAGTAAAAAAATTACGAGCAATACATTTTGCTCTCAAGAAAATTAGATTTCGGCATTAAATGACCCATAAGGAGTTGATGTGCCGTTAAACAAACACTACGAGAAGCCTTGCTGTTATCGATGCAAAAAGAAGCCTTCGAATTTTAGGTTTATCCGTGATATTCAAAGGCAAAAACACAGACACGCACACACATACACGCACGAACGCTCGCACGCACGCGCGCGCACAAACACACACAGACACACACACACTTCAGCGTCTTTAATATAGATACGATTTATTTAGGGTATATTTATTTAGGTGTGGATCGTGTAACGGTTTTCGGCGTTGAAAATGAAACCGACGCTAATACCTAAAAGGCATGAACCCATCTTTCCCCCGTTATGAGATAAACAGTAAGGCAAACTGGACTCTCTTTACAGTCTAGGTGAATGAAAACTCTGAATTAAAAGAAAAGCAAACTGAAGACGGGTGGGATCCTTTATCTTCTTAACCTCTGACACACCCTTTCAAGGGTGTGTCAGAGGTTACAGTGCATACGGTGCGCCAGCGACCGCTAATAATTTACTGATAGTGACGTGACGCTAGCAACTTTGCACAATTACAAATACGTAAATAAAAAGAATAACGATTGCATTTTAAAAATATTTTCCAGTCTGTCCAGCTGCTCAATTAGATGTGACTTTTATAATTGATGGCTCCGGTAGCGTTGGAGAAGACAACTTTAATTTGATTGTGAACTTCTTACGAGAGATGATCAGCGACATGGACATCCAGCCTGACAACGTACACGTCTCTGTGATCCTGCTATCCACCAACGCCACTCTGGTAATGAGCATGGAAGATTTCCGAGACGACACCAATCTGGAAGCGGCATTCCAACGAATCAGCTACCCAGGCGGTTTGACCAAAACAGCTGAAGCTATCGATTTGGCTGTCAGTGCATCCCTTAACATGTCCTCAAAAGGGAGAATAAACAAAGCGGCTAAAGCGTTTGTTTTGGTCGGTGATCTCCGATCGGAAAATATCACTGACGCCATTTCGGCTGCGATGAGAGCCAAAGACATGGATTTCAAAATATTTGTCCTCGGAGTTGGAAACCTTGTTGTCGGCCAGCTGAAGGCATTCGCATCTACTCCAACCTGTAAACATCTGAGCCTTTTGGATTCTTATTATGAGCTTTATTTATCTGTGAACCAACTTCAGAAAGGATTATGTGAAGGTTTGTTCAGTTTATATTTATCAATACTCTTCTTGTTATTTTTGTTCTTTAGATCATTTCTTCAAACGGACGTTACACTTTCATTGACAAATTTTAGATAGAATACTACCACTATTCTCATAATATATCATTTATTCACTGTAATAGATCAATATGAAATACATGCATTGCAAAGGATTTTACTATCAAAATGCATTGCAAATGAACTTACTGTAAAAATGCATTGCAAATGATTTTACTATAAAATTCACTGCAAATGATTTTACTATAAAATGCATTGCAAATAATTTTCCTATAAAAATGCATTGCAAATGATTTTACTATAAAAATGCATTGTAAATGATTTTCCTATAAAAATGCTTTGCAAATAATTTTACTATAAAAATGCATTGTAAATGATTTTACTATAAAAATGCATTGTTAATGATTTTACTATAAAAATGCATTGTAAATGATTTTACTATGAAAATGCATTGTAAATGATTTTTACTATAAAAATGCATTGTAAATGATTTTCCTATAAAAATGCTTTGCAAATAATTTTACTATAAAAATGCATTGTAAATGATTTTACTATAAAAATGCATTGTTAAGGATTTTACTATAAAAATGCATTGCAAATGATTTTACTATGAAAATGCATTGTAAATGATTTTTACTATAAAAATGCATTGTAAATGATTTTCCTATAAAAATGCTTTGCAAATAATTTTACTATAAAATTCATTGCAAATGAATTTACTATAAGAATGCATTTCAAATAATTTTACTATAAAAATGCATTGCAAATGGTTTTGCAAGAAAATCAATTTTTAATAATTTTAGTATGAAATGATTTTACTAGATAAAGCATTGAACAGAAGGGAAAAAAAAACATCGAAATATTCTGATACATGCATGATATTGGTTGAGGAGGCTGCGTAACTTTTGTTGGTGCTCAATTTTGTTGCGCACCTCCCCATTAACCCGACCCTGTGTCATATCGTCTGGGACGTAGGAAAATAACGGAATTTTGGCAAATTGTAGAACGGAAAATAGTCTAATAATAACAAAAAAACAATAATAAACATTCGTATTTATCGCTGAGAAGGTTGTCTATGAAATCCACAGCGTTACATTATTGTCTCTCTCTCGGCCAAGGCTGGAGGTAGATATGTGAAAATGAATGATCTATGTATGTTCTTCTCTCGATTATTTCTTTGTAAATCATCGTAGCATGCTAATGATGTAATATGTTGTAATGATATCTGGCGATAGGACAGAACCCAAGGAAATGTGTAGTCATGCCTTTTACGAGAGCATTAGTGCCAAATAAACAAAAGAAGCCTCAGGCGAAATTCGAACTTGTTACATATATATATATATAATATATATATATATATATATATATATATATATATATATATATATATATATATATACTGTCCGTATTGTCCATTGCTCCAAGCGATTTTGCCCACTTGAATCATTCAAACAGTACAAAAACGCCCAAAAAACAAAAACATCTTAAACTGTCAAACATGAAATTGCAAGAAATTGGTATAAACACCACCCAGGCCCGATTACGGACATAGGACCTGTAACAATTTTATGGGTCTTTACGATACATACAGACAAAACAATCAAAGGTTATCACCTACACATCGTGATCACAGACCAGAAAAATAGAATATGCTTACTTACTGACGTGACTGTCTCTGCAGACTCTAATGTATCTTTGAAGATCTTCAAAAAACTATCAAAGTACAAGGACCTTGAAATAGAAATTTCAAAAATGTAGCACGTGAGGACATCAACCATTCCGGTTGCAGTTGCAGACCTCGGTTTTAATTGAAAAAGGTTCCGATAGACTCACTGAAGATATTCCTGGTAGTTCATGCTTTAAGGAAATCTAACAAATTGTACTCACAATTATAGCTCACGTCTTATCAAGGGCTTTATCTATGTAAAATGTGTATGTCCTTTGTTTTTTTTTTCTCAGTGTCATGAGGCCATTTCTAACCTTAGGTCTCTGGTTGGGACCCGAAAAGAAATGAGTATACAACAGAAATGAAAGGAAATTTTAAAAAGTATTAACAAAATAGATTCAGTGTATGTCAGTAAAACCTCGCCAAAGAATAAAAAAGGGATTTATCTATACGTGTTTTATTTATTTTTTTTTTTAAGATTTTGCTCTAATATGTTTTTCTTTTTTTCTTTTTAAGCTCCCGCGGTTGTAGATCTAATCAGCAAAGACACTGCTAAACTTGACTTCAATACTCTGCCGGCAGACGGAAACAGCAGCAAATTACAAATCATCAAACTGAATGTACCCAAAACAGAACCATCAAAAAGATACATTGGCAGCAAGCACATCGCCGTCAAGGTAAGCAGCAAAACACCGTAAGCAATAACATGTATATGCAAAGTGAAATCGGCATAACGCGAAGTTAAATATTATCTTTTATGAAAAAAACAAAGCAAAACAAATACAAAACCCCCAAAAGATGAAGATATTAGTAAAAATATGTACGGATTTTAAAAATATCTGTCTATATTTCTGAGATGAGGTATTGTAACAATTTACATTATTTACATTGTATAAAGTTAGACAGAGTGACACACTGACATTGGCATTTATTATATAGAAGGAAATGAGCTACTGAGAATTGTCTCCCTTTAATTGAAAAAGTGTGACATAATGACATTGGCATTTATTATATAGATGACCATATATGCTTGACAGTTACGATGATACATTGATTATATTTGTTTCCCAAAAATGAAAATTATTTATGATTCAACTTAATAATTAATTTCAATCAGATATTTAATTATGAAGTGGGCTATAATACATCCCATCATGCAAGAGGATTTCATGAATACTGGGATAGAATAGAAACCTCCGTAGTCTTAGGTATACGAAGATAAAAAGGAGGTATTAAAAATGAGCTATACTGCGGATACTACTTCTATGTGCCGTGTCCTTTCAGGACGTTGGCCATCATGTCTCTACACAATTTTCTTTGTAGCTCTTAATAATATTTGTCTTTTTGCTATCTCTCTCAAACACTGCTCCGCCACCCGTTCACTCAAGCTCAATAGGTAAGTTATGCGTTTTTTTTCCTCTGTCCCTCTTGCCTTCAATCTGTCCTGTATGTATCAGATTTTCCAAGCTCTCTTTCCTCATCATATTCTGCCGAGACTAACATTTCATAAATGAGGTGAAAATTGATGATCATTCCGAGTTAGCAGAAACAAAAAATATTTTTTTAAAAAATTTAATTCTACATTAATAGCAATGTTTTGCTGTCATATCAGAAATAATAATAATAATAATAATAATAATAATAAAAGAGATCAAAGACAAATGCAATCGACCAGATACAGAAACAATGGCAAGATAAACCGCTTCATGTACCAAACAAGCTGACGTAGATAAAACCCGTACCCATCAGTGGCTACGTAGTGCAGAGTTGAAAGCTGAAACTGAAGGTTTTATCCTTGCTGCACAGGACCAATGCTTGTTAACTAGGAATTATCAAGCACATATATTAAAATATTGTGTTAGCCCAAAATGCAGATTCTGTGATAAATATCCAGAAACAATTGATCATCTTGTATCAGGTTGCACAATATTGGCACCCACTGAAAATAAAACCCGGCATGACAGAGTGGGCCAATATATGCACTGGAAAATTTGCAACTTCTACGGAAAGGAAACTGAAAGAAACTGGTATGAACGCCACCCAGGCCCGGTTACGGAGATAGGACCTGCTACAATTCTATGGGACTACACAATACACACTGACAGAACAATCAAAGCCAACCGCCCAGACATTGTTATTAAAGACCACAAACAAAAAAAGTGCCTCCTTATTGATATGGCAGTCCCTGCAGACTGCAATGTATCTTTGAAGATATTCAAAAAGCTGTCAAAATACATGGACATTGAAATAGAAATCTAAAAAATGTGGCATATGGGAACATCAACAATCCCTGTTGTAGTTGGAGCCCTAGGATTGGTTGGAAAAGATTCCAGTAGACTAATCGAAGGGATTCCTGGAAGTCCATGCTTCAAAGATAAACATTGTTCTCACAAGCACATCCCACATTTTACGAAGGGCTTTATTTATGTGAAATATGCTTTTTTATCAGTGTCACGATGCCATTTCTAACCATAGGTCTCTGGGAGGGACCCGGAAAGAAATATGTACACACCAGAAATCAAAGGAAATAAAAATTATATAATAATAATAATAAAAATTGTTTTCACAAGTACAGCCCACACCTTATCGATGTAAAATATATGTGATATTTTTTCAAAATTGATCAGTGGAAAATGTCATGATGCCATTTCTGACCTTAGGTCTTAGGTCTCTGGTCGGGACCCGGAAAGAAATGAGTATACACCTGAAACCAAAGGAAATAAAACAAAATAATGATAGTAATGGTTGGATAACCGTTTCTGAGTACACCTGTCTGCTAAGGCGACTAGTAAATCCCCACTCAGACACATTTATGTTTCTTTAACGCCCACAGAAACAATACACCTGCTTAGTCACATTTGCGTTACTTCAACACCCACAGAGCCAGCCTGCCGTTTATACTGTAATTATGCTATGTAGACATTAGTTACAGTTTCTAAAAACATAGGCCAAGATGATTTGTAACGTCGTGCTAGAACAACTATCAACGGCTTTCGAACAGTTTCGTATACGAAATTTCAAGGCTTGAGATCATTTGGTAGTAGGGTTTTCGTACTTTCTAACAGTGCTGTACATTGGGATGGTCTCATCCAGATTGATAACATCCTGAAGTCATCTCTCTGATATATCGACAATGGTGAAATCCAAACGTTCTAATCACTTGGTTACACGCCCATCCATTTGTATCAGAAATACCGTTACAATAATTACTTATAGTGACGACTATCAATTAAAAACAAGTGGTATTAAAAAAAAAGAAAAAGAAAAAGAAAAAGGAGTTGGTGGATAGAAGCTCCATATTTAAAATTGTTAATAAATTTATTAATTCTTAGCCGATTTTCATAAATTTATTTTCAACATTATAATGTTAGAAGTACACACAGGGTTAAAATTCTACCTTACGCACAATCTGGATGTTGAAGGACGGCCGCTTCTGTGTGTGTGTACCACAGATCCCAAACTCATCAGCTTGGAATCACAATTTCTGATTATTTTGGCATCTAATGAAGCACGAGGTCAATGGACACTGTGCCATCCTCTCGACATTTGTGCCACGGCCTGCTACACTTCGTAAGGGGACGCTAGCTGATCACGCTCATGCAGTGTCAGGCTGTGTCATTCTAGGCTACACTAGCGCCACGGCACGAGCTTCCCCGTTGTTTTGAAGATCTCGGTAGACAGTTTCAGTGATGGCCGTAAGCACATCAGCTGTAGATAGGCAAAGCGGAAGCCATATTGCTTGTCTGAGAGCAGATCATGGGATGTGAGGTGGTTAACCACCTCGGTATTGATTAGGGCTTCGAAGACTTTGCCGAAGAGGGGTAGGAGACTGATAGGACGGTAGTTAGAAGGGTCAGAGGGGTCGCCAGAGTTCTTGAAGACAGGAACAATCGAAGAGGGCTTCCAGCAGTCAGGAAAACAAGATTCCTTGAGGCAGTAGTTGTATAGTTTAGAAAGGGCGGGCGCCAGTTCAGGCGCGCATTTCTTCAAGACAATGGTTGGTATCCCATCTCCACCACTAGCCCTGTTGGGGTCTAAATTGGAGATAACGCCCAATACCAAAGACGGGGTTATGTGTAACCCACTTAATAGGGCCTCAGTTCTAAGAGGGAAGTCGGGTATGGGTACACCGGAAGAGTCGAGTTGAATGAAAATGTCCGGGCAAAACATTCAACCTTGTCGGCAGAGGAGGTCAGGACTTCGAACTGGTTGAACAATGGAGGTCAGCTATTCAAATGTAATGTCAATCGACATCTCCAGTTGCTTTGATCTATCTACTACCCTTCTCCTCATCCTTTCTTCTATCACTCATATCTGATCTTGCTCCAAATTTTCTGTAACCCCTTGCGTCCTAGTGGCTTCCCGCCTTGCTTGGGGTGAAACGCTTAAAAAATAAATAAATAAAAAACTTGTCACGCTGAAATAAAAACAGGAACTAGAAAAGAAATTCTACCAGGAATCATAATATATTTTGTTTCATGAAAATGTGTTGATATTAACAAAAATTATAAGTAATTTTCAACAGGGAATTTCTTTCCACCCATTATTTATACATTTCCTACACTTGCCGCGAAATGTAAAGAAGTACTGATACGGTAAGAGGACACTTAAGATTAAGTAAAGTTACATAAAGGACAATACTCAACAGCCCGTCAACACACACACACACACACACACACACACACACACACATGATGGACTCTCCCGTCGATTTCGACGTATGAGGTTCCGACAACTTTTTAATGACCTTTATGTTTGAATCTAGAGTGACATTTCAGACCTGCTAATGACTTGCAAAGAACACACACACACATATATATATATATATATATATATATATATATATATATATGAACACGCGAACGAACATCAACAGGCGCGCGTCACTAATAGAGTGTAAAAATGCAAATAAAATAACGGACATCTCTTAAAAAGTGAATATACACCACGAAATTTCGTAGTCGGGATAATAATAATCACATACGGAGAAATTAATTTCGAGTAAGTAAATTTTTCAATACATACATACATATATATATATGAAAATTTCTCCGATTTAACCAGTAGAGAAGACAATATTTATGAATAAAAATGACAATAGGAAAACTGGTAATTGCTGACGCGTTTCGTCCAATGTGGACTTTATCAAAGCAAAATACGGTATTTTGCTTTGATAAAGTCCACATTTTCCTATTGTCATTTTTATTCATATATATATATATATATATATATATATATATATATATATATATATTATAAATTAACTGATTTAAAATATGTTTTTTCGTTACATAGTTCTAACCACTGTAGTTAAATAAAACGTATTCTAACCTAAACACCTCTCTCAAAGTACTACAAGCACTTAAAAGAATCCAATAAAACACCTACAGTAAAATGAAATTAATATGATAAGTTAGAAGATGTAAGCTATTGAATGACCCATGTCCTTTGTACTTACATGAGAAACTATATATTACTAGGTTTATAAAAAATAAAAGTTTACTAAATCAGAGAAATGAATTAGCTATTTTTTACTTAAATAATATTTAAATATAAATTTAAAAAAAAATTGCGACATGGTAATATACATACTTATATTTAATGTGCAAATAATTTTACATACTGTAAGTAAGTCTAATACATTTACTTGTTTTAAAAAGAAATATAATATATTAAAAAATTAAAAGTGAAAATATTTTTTAAATCATAGTTAAATAAAACGTTTTCTAACCTAAACACTCCCCAAAATCTTTAAGTATACAAATAGAAAAAATGCCGTAAGAATTTTGCCGTTAACAATAATTGTTTTTTTAAAATCCAGACGACATACATTTAACGGATGTCAGAATTCATTGAAAAATACATCCTTGCCCCTACCAAAACGTAACTAACAACTGATACATCAAAATACAGCGTTAATGAACACGCAAACACTCCTTGTCTGGATGAATGGATTTCCCTGTATCCTTGGAAACGTGAATTATGAATTTTTGCTGTGCCTTTAAAAACCCAGTAATCTTAAAAATAAAAATAAGTTACTCCAAAATTCGCTTGAGGAGGATATGGAGCTAATGTCTTTGATTTAATTACAAAATTAGATTCGAAGCTTTTAGCTTCCATTTTTGAAACATGGTTAGAACTGTGTAGCGAAAAAAAAACATATTTTAAATCAGTTAATTTATAATATTAATGCTCTGTAGACTTACATTGAGCACTAAAAATAAAAATATCTATAAGAACACCGGATTATATATCTTACTGTTCTTTATATATATATATATATATATATATATATATATATATATATATGTAAAATTTATTATCCATTAATTTTTTCACGGGTAATATTTAAATATTTCTTCCTTTGCCATATCTTCTTGCCGTTAGTTCAAAATTTATACCTTCTTTTATTTGTGTATTGCGATCATTTTGATTCAAGTTCGTATTTTCTTCATTTTAAATGAAAACTTGCAAAATTTAAAACTTATTTCAGTGAAATTTCACTTTAAAAAGCTCATAGTTCACGTGCAGTAATTGTGAAAATTTCATGGCTTTTCTGTTTCAATTTTCTGGGGAATCATAATTCTGAAATTAATGATTGAATAAGTTCCCTGCGAGTTCTACGACTATAAAAGACCCGTAGAAATTCTCATTTTGTATAGTTAAATATTTTTGACTTAACAACTTTGATAAAATATTGCAATAACAATCATAAATATGAATCTAGGTTATTATTTTAAGAAGTAAGAGGGTAGAAATGAAAAAAATGAACAAGGTTTTTCGTCTTGCCTAAAGCAGACGCTAAATATATGAGAACGTGGACAGGGATTAAGGGAAAAACGAGTTGTTACCCTTTGTGCTCTTCAAATGGAGGTAACTTTACAATATCAGATAAATGATGTTTAGTTTATGTTATAAAAAGCACGGCTTTTTCTATAGAGATTTTAAAGCAAAACAGTTGTATGGTACCATATAGTTTTTCTATATGGTAAAAATGTTAGAATCTCTTTGTATAAACGAGACAAAAGAATTGGGTTAACACGTTTTTGAGTGGAATAATAAAGAAACCTTCAGTGCTGCTAAATTTCGAATGTGGGTATATCCGAAACAGTGTAATATTACTATTATTATTGTTTTTTGAATCTTTTTCAGGTCACAACTATGTGTGGCTACGTCAACATGTATGCATCTTACGATATAGCCAAACCAGGCAAAGGTTACCATACTTATAGTGCAGAAGCTACTGATCTCATGCCTGGAGAGCTCTTTGCCAACAGTTCCTTTGACGGGCGGCCATTGTACGTCAGCATAGAAGCTGTAAATGTCAATGAATCGTGTGCCTATTCTCACTATAATGTTTCAATTGTGAATGAAATTGCAGGTATGTTACTTCAACTGTTTATAATATATATAATTTTCTTTTTTATGTAAGCTTTGTTGATTTAATACGGTCAATAATTTAACGAAAATACCCGTTTGAGATTAAAACATATACATAAATAATAATAATTATATTAATAAGAATATATATATATATAATGATAATATAAGTGGTCAACACACACACACACACACACACACACACACATATATATATATATATATATTTCCAAGAGGATAAAATCCAGGTAGAGCTCTATGTACAAGACAGAGAAAGAATATAATAGAAAAAGCTTAAAATATTGATATTCTATAGTTAAAATTTATTACATTGGAATCGTAATAACGATTGTAAGCAAGCTGATTTTCAAATATTTGGTACTGAGTTCGAGTATCACTACAAACACGATGCCACAAAATAAAAGAAGTGTTTGTCAAAAGTGGGGGAGGTGTCAAATTTGAAAGATTGCTGCTTCTATATAATTTTTATTTATCTTTTCGTCAAATGAATATCTTTGGATCTGTTCTGTTTTGTTTTGTTTTTCACTTGTACTTATTTTTGTGAATTAGATCTTTTTTCCCGAATATGCGACTTTTATAAGAGTTAATGTTTCGAGAGAGAAAAAAAAACAAAAAAAAACAAAAACAAAACATAGCAGAAAAAATCAAACAGATATTTTATGATTCATGTTGAAAATGAATAGCAGTAATGATTTTAGAAAATAAAATAACCCACGTTTATAGCATTGTTACAGATTGAGACCAAGAAAACAATTTAGTGCACCATTTAGTTCTCAATTTCAGGAAAAAGTGGGAGGGAATGGAGATTCACAATCTCTCTCTCTCTCTTTATATATATATATATATATATATATATATATATATATATATATATATATATATATATATATAAAACTTGTGGCATTGTGCTCAAAATAAGCCAATTTTGATTAATAACTCTTAATCATTGCATCTTAGAAATGATTAAAATATCTTATTGGAATTCTCCTAAGTTTGTTTAACACTATTAGACTTTACTTTGAGCAATAACAATGTCTAATGACTCTCAAGCTTAACAGAAGAATCGTGATGTGTTCGATCATAAATGAAAATGACATGTTCATCATTAATTAATTATAATCGAAGCTCATGAAGGATTGAAATAAAGTTAAAATATATATATATATAATATATATATATATATATATATATATATATATATATATATATATATTATTATCTTTTTTAAACTTATTCACCGTTCTCTTGATGTTTCTTTAATGAAATTTAAAGATGGAAGCCAGAGTATGAATGTTGGTACCATTACTGAAGGCTTGAACGATATTTATCCTCTCACTATTTCTCAGTTGAGAAGATAGTGGGCTTATACAAAACGATTTTAAACTGTTCTCTTTCTAACTGAATAACCCAATCGCCTCTCGATGCTAATATCAGTGTCCATTTTTATATTTAGATACGCTCTATCCCTGATATTGAGCACTTTTACCCATAAATATAGCATACCTTAAAACTATATATATATAAATTTTTCTCTGATGACTAAATTTGTGTTATTTATTTAGTTATTCATGTTACCACGAAAATTGGTATCTTGACAATAAATATTTATTTGTACTTATTAAGAAGCTTAAATATTGTCGATCTATCTTAGTCTATTAGTATTTATATAAGTGTATACATATCAAGTATTTTCTTATCTATCTATCGATCTATCTATCTATCTATCTATCTTATATTTAGTGGCTACACGTGTTCGCGTGCATATTCTTGTTTTCTTTTTTAAAGAATGAAATTAATGTCTATTGGTCTGGGCTTTTGAAAGTCTTACCAACAAAAAATTACCTCTCGATATTTTCTTTGGTAAGACTTTCGATCTCTATACCGGCGGGTGGTGTGAAATCGAAAAACCGTGTTCGAATTCCAGTCGGGTTCGTTACATTCGCTTACGCGCAAATACTCTTGAGATAAGTATGAATCCATCGGTACCCTGAAAAAATAGTTGTTATTCTCAAAAAAAAAAAAAAAAAAATGTTTATGCAATATTCAGTCGCAAAAAAGACTTATTCTTACAATCGAAAAATTTTTCAGCTTTAAATAAGCCACAAAGAAGTGTTGATAAACTCAAAAAAAACAAAAAAACAAAAAACAAAGCAATCAAATAACTACACGGGCGGACATTAATTTTGCTGTTTAAAAACAAGAGGTCTATTCAAACACGTGCACCCATTAAATATAACGTCTACAGTAATAAGAAATAATTTCTGATTAAACAATTCACTAATTACTTAAAAATATATTTTTTTAATTTGATATTTCCAGTGCCTAACCCATGCAAAGATCAAATCCATCTATACTATCCCCACCCACGTAAAGACATGTTCATCCAGTGTGACCTGTGGGGTGAAGCATTTGAAATGACGTGTCCTTCAAATACCGTTTGGGACCAAATTGTTCTCACCTGTGTATCATCTTATAGCCTGGGTCCTATGCCGAAGTCCAAACCGAGCAGTATAATTCAAAAGTCGTCAGCGCCTGCTACACTCAAGTTAACTTCTGCTAAGCACGATTCTGTTACCAGTAACGGTATCGAGTCAACAAAGTTGCAAACGTCTACGGCTACGACGAGTGCCAGTACAACCACCACTGAAAGTAAAGCCCTGGAAAATCCGTGCACCGCAGAGGCCATAGCAGCTAATAAAATGTTCCAACCTCACCCTGACCCTAAGAAATTTATTCAGTGCGACCAATCAGGTAATTTCTTCGTGAAAAATTGTCCCCCAGGGACAGTTTGGATTCCGTCGCAGAACACGTGCAACTTATCGATTTTCAAAAAGAGCAGATAAATATCAATAAAGTGAAATAGAATAAACATTTGCAATCATATTAAGTGAAAGTAGTACTTAAAAAAAAAAATACTGTAGGTTCTTTAAACTAGTGCACATATATAATTTATTTGTACGGCGTACGGTTACTAATATTATTAAAATAAAAGAAAAAGGTTTCTTTGTTTTATCTGTAAATATTACAATAAAATTCAAAAGACGTGAAAGGAAATAAAGTCAAACATATAAATATATATATATATATATATATATATATATATTGCTGAACCAAAAGCCATTAATGTTAGCACGCAAACAAGTGAAAACTTCCAGAGAATGAAAACTTGTTCAGAAAAATACAAAAATGAAAATAAGATGCGCATAAAGATTTTCAAAACTAAGCTATAAAATAAATCTGACGATTCCTTTTGTTTACTTAAACAAACAAACAAGCAAACAAAAATAAAGCATAAGACTACTGATTCTTATGGTATGGAATCGTGAACTATATCCTGGGTTCGTCGAAGTTCTAATCTCTTATTTAAGAGAAATAATTCCAAAAAAACTTAAAAGAATAAAATGCAGAAAACATTAAAAACAAAACGAGGAATGAAATAATTCTTTCTTGTAGAATTATTTAAACGAGTGAGAAAACGTCTTACTCAGTAAAAAAAACAAAAAACAAAACAAAACAAAAAAAAAACGAAAAAAAAAAGAAAACGCCGAAAAGCAAATTAAACTTATAAATCTTGAATAAATGTTCTATAAACAGGTCAGTTTTTAAAAATTTCTAATAGACAAATTTACATAAATAAAACAAAATAATAAATATATGAAAAAAAAATAAATAAAAATTTTTAAAAAAATCTGAAAAATGTTTAAAAAATCACAAAAATATGACGAAACTTCAAAACTTAAAAGCAAAAACGGGAAAAACAAACACAAAGAAAACAAAAACATAAAAAAGTAAAAGAAAAAATTTAAAAACAAGTTAAAAAAAATCTCAAAATGGCAATTCAAAAAAGTTAGAAAAAATCTATTATAAAAACAAACGGTTAAAAGTAGTTCTGAATTTCTATTTTTAATTTATAGATCATTTCTAACAATCCTTAAAAAGGAAGAAAAAAAAAAAGGGCGGCAATTTTCGAAATTTTCCGAACGCCGTTCTAAATTTATCAAGTGCACTTTGCTTAAAGCTTCGGTCAGTACAAAATATTCAGTAATCTTTTTTGTAGAAGTTTCTTTCTACTTCAAATATTTACTTGGATATTCATATTAACAATATTTGCTCATGGTTAGCACTATAATAATAATAATAAAAGTGCTGAGATAACTTTTCTCTTCATCCCAAATAAATTCATTGCAGATTAATTGTTTTTTTTTTTGCATCAAAAGTTTTATCCCTGTATTTTTGCATACGTGACTGTCATTGATGAGAGCAGAAGAAAAAAATACTTGCATACTTGTTCATCTGAGTTCTTTTCTAGCATCTCATTTTTTTATTTCTAAATTCGAATTAACCCCTTCAGAGATGAACTCCGTCTAAAACCGAACATGGCTCCTTGAAATATCCACGATCTTTTCTCAAAATTTTCATCCATTTTGATTTCATAGATTTGTGTACATCCATCTTTACTCGGATAACTTCTTTTCACACCAAAATTGAAGAAATAAAGAAAATAGACCATTCTTTTAGGAATTTCGTTTCAAAAGTGGGTTAGAGATCTGTTAGCTTAAATGTCAGGCTCTAAAAAGCCTGAAAAAATATTGCTCGAAGCAAAGCAGTTCATATTCATAATATTACAGAGGAGAGAAAAAAAAAAAAAAAAAAACAACACTGAATTTAAAACAATAAAAAAGAAGGAAGGAAAACGGCCGAGGCTCCCCTAAAAAGCAGCGACAGCAAAAGCAGCAAAAAAATATGGCAAAATAAAGTGAGCAAAGTAAAAAAAAATGAAACAAGAAAAAAGTGAAACAAGATAAAAAATCACTATACATTTTTTTAAACCCAAAAGTTTGGTTCATTTTAATAAAATTTAAAATTTAAATTAACCAATTTGTTTACATTTTCTTTTTTTCCTTTTCCTTTTGTAATTTGATCTTTACCAGTGGTGCTTGTGATACGTTAATTTTTAAAAACTGGATATCATGTTCTGACTTCACCGATATGAGGGGTTTAAGAAAACTATTATTACAATAGTAACAGTGTTTCGTGAAAGTAAAGAAAAAGACCAGAATCATTGAACTGAACTTGATAAGCAGAAATGCTTACTCTTTATAACCAAACTTGTTAAAATCCTTTCAATAGGATGATTATAATAATGTTTTCTCGCAACTGGGAATTCGTATTTTCTTTTTGTGATGTGAATTAGAGAATATTGGTATGGTGTGTGTAAAAATATTCTCAGTGTCTCTTTTGTTTTGGCTCCGAGAATTTCGTTTGTGAGGATGGCGTTTGAAATCGTCTGTTTTCGCTCTTCACGGAGCACTGGCTAGACGACTGTGTTTTTGTATTGCTACTTGTCTACTCATCTACTTACTACTGCTACTGATACTGGTACTCTAGTTTACTCTACTGTTCTCTACTCTACTGACCCTCTTGTGGTGGGAGGGTCGTTTTTATAATGATGAAGGTTATTTTAAAATCCTTAATTTTTTATCATCACTTATGGCAAGGTTATTTTTAGAATTATGAAATATCATCATCATTCTGGATCATAACACTTTTTTGCAGCAATAATAATTGCTGAAACATCTGTCTATATTTCTGAGATGAGGTATTGTGAGTATTTACACTATTTACATTGTTCGGACTGTTGTCCTCATCTTTATTGGCATATTCACGATGATTCGGCCGTTGTACGCTCTGGGTAATGTGTCCCTAAGAACATAAAGATAAAAGTGTTGGTTGAAATAATCCAGCGACTTGACCCCAGAAGTTGAGGCCACACCACAGGTGAACAATAAACTTGGAGAGTTGAGTAACTAAAGGGAATTAAGTGAAACTGAGATACCCAGAAAAGTCATGGCATGTGGAACTAGAACAATCTATTTCCACTTCCGTGGACTAAATAAAAAATAACATCAGAAGAAGGCCGAAGCCTACTACGGCTGAAACGTCGTGAATATGACAATAAAGATGAAGACAACAGTCCGAACAATGTAAATAGTGTAAATAGTTACAATACCTCATCACAGAAATATAGACAGGTCCTGAAGAAGGCCGAACCGTACAACAGCTGAAACGTCGCGAATATGACAATAAAGATGAGGACAACAGTCCGAACAATGTAAATAGTGTAATAATTGCTGGTTACTCATTTTTATGCTAAATTTCCTCCAATACAAGACACGGGAGCCACCCATGGTAGAGGACTACTCGTTTCCGTGTACACCCGTCTGCTTTCTTCAACAGAGTGCCAATTTGTACTTTATACTGCAACTATCCTGAGCAGACCTTAGTTACAGTTTCTGTGAGAGACTGCATAACAAAGTTAATAGGCTCATACCCTCGGTCGCGATGACTTGTGATTTCTTGGTAGCATAAACTTCAACAGCGCCCGAAAAGATCTGTCTATCCAATTTTACTTCCAAGGCTTAGGTTAGTCCGTGTTGTTTTTCAGGCACTCAAGCCGATATTATCACGAAGACACTGCCCTGACAAATCGGCCATGATGAGATTCAAACCAGGGTCCTATGGCCGGAACGCTAACGTTCTAATCCCTATGTGCCTAATTTTACAGTAGTAAAAGATCAATATATTTAATATTTAAATCGTATGTTTGTGTGTATCGATCAGCTTGATCGAGAAGCAGCTGGTAAAAAAAAGTGTGTGATTTTATCTTGTCTTAAGTGATTCATGTTTTGTACCTAGTGATAAGGTTTGTGAAATGGGGTCTTCAAAAGGAGCCACCCACTTAACCAAATAATAATAAAATGGTAGATAAAGCAATTAAAACTTTTGGGAAGAAACGACAATAAACCAGGCACTGAAGTTTCCAATCGAAGGCTTATATTAATAGTCACAGTTGGGATTGAGGCAGTGATTATGTGCCCTTTACCAGGTGAACGTCGTTCGTCGATGTATCCCCGATGCCACCCGTTAGAGTTGCCAGCTGCGCGTTTCAATGTTGAGATAGGTAGAGGAGTAGTAGGAAAGTCAAATTACTCGCTGGTTAAAAGAAAAAAAGCTGATCTGTTAGTGGATACCAGAAATAGCAGAAACTGTCCTAAGTCTCACTCAAAACAAGGGGATCCCTGCAATAAAGACGTTCAAGGGAATTCCTGAAATAAACACCTGAAATAGAGAGCAATAACTGAAAAACAACTGCTGACTTTTGTCTACGTTATATCAGAGACGCATCGAGGAGGATTCAAATGATCTGTGGTTCATACAACATCAAGTTATATTCAAAATGTTTATAACTTTCTATGCAGTTGCGATTGTCTTCGAAGAGAAGTGAAATGAAAGGAATAGGTTATAACAATAGGGCAGAAAGAGCGTTTTTCATAGTGTTGTGGTGTTCTCCATCTAAAGTGTCTATGTTAGACTCTTCCGCCTATTATAAGATAAGTAGGAGAGAAGGCTTCGGGGAACAGTGAATAGATTGTTAGAACGTTGCCAAACCGTTCATTGCTGTCGAACTCTCCACCTCGGCGGAGAGGAACCCGGAGGAGGCTTTGCGGCAGGGTAAAGTTTCCTCCGGGAAGGTAGACAGGCCCTGAACCCGTTTATACGGGTTCAAAGGGAATATTTTTGGCCGAGCCTACGGGCTCGGAGAACCCACAATAAACCGGCCTTGTGCCACATACGACCCACGTGGTGGGGGCCGTTAAATATAACAGTGAATAGATTGTTCGTTACTGTCAAACTCTCTGCCTTGAGCAGAGAGGAACCCAGACGAGGCTTTGTTGAGGGGCAATGTTTCGACCGGGGAGGTAGACAGACCTTGAACCCGTTTATGCGGGTTCTAAGGGAATATTCTTGGCTGAGCCTACAGGCTCGGAGAACCCACGGTAAA